CATGCCCTAATACTCTTTTTAGCACTTCTTTTATGGCACAGCCTGATGTCCTGTGATCATCTTTTGCTTTGCCCCAGATATGGAGGCATCCATACCCTTTTGGGGAAATCATATTTAACTCCAAGGTCTGGATGTTGCATGTGGTCATCCACCACTGTGGTATCTTTGTTTCTTGGTCTCAGGACAGAGCTAGGAAGTGTGTGCACACACATGTATGTACATATACACATAAACATATACTTACATATACACAAACATACATGTAAGTGTGTATACAGGTGAATAGATGTTCAGTTTCATTCAAAATAAAATAAATGTTAGTTAAAGTTATACTACATATAATTTCTCACCCATGAGATTGGTGAAAATTTTAAAGCTATACTTTTTTTTTTCTTGTATAGCTATGGGAAATAAAGCACTCTTATTCATTGAAAGTAAGAATGCAAAATCATGTTATCCCTAATGAGAGCAACCCCAGACAACATCTAACAAAATTCTGTACTTACCTTTCCCAGCAGTCTATTTCCATCTATATTTTTTCCATAAATATAACCAAGTGCAAAAGAGTATTAACAGTACATTGCAATTTGTGTAAGAAAGAGGAACTCAGGTAAAGGTTATGTGTATCTGCTTATCTTTATAAGAAGAAACACAGGAGGGAAGGATTAGTGAAAAAGAGGGAGCCATACTTGAGTATACCTTTTAATCTAGTTTTAACAAAATAGACGTCATCAAAATTAAATATTTTGCCCTCCTTGTCTTTCTTATAGCACATCAGCCCTTCAAACCAGACCTGATAGCCCAGTTGGAGAGAGAAGAAAAGCTTTTAATAGTGGAGGCAAAAATCCAAAGAGATGGATATTCAGGTGAGACTTGTTCAACAGGGACTAGTAGCCAGTGAGCCCCTCTGGAACACAAAGCAGGAAATGTTAGTTCTGTGCTTAAACTCTGCAGTGGTCCCCATTTCAGAGATAGTAAATTTAAAGCACTTACAGTGGCCCACTAGCACCTATAGTATCTGCCTTTTACCTCCTTGGTTTTGACCATTTTTGTAAGTTTTAGCTACATCACCCTATTGCTTCCCACCAGACCTATAATCTGTTTCTCCATCAGGTTCTGTGACTTACTTTTCTTGCTGTCTTAATTTATAAATTGATTAACAGATGCATGGTCCTTGCTGTCTTCAGTCTACCCTGGGACAGCTAATAGATATAGACTAAATCAGGGTAATTGAAGAATACTCTAGAATGTTGATTGTATCTGATAACTACATTATTGGGGGGAAGATGGCCAGTGTTTCATTAAGGGGTCCTTCTTCCTGCCCAGGATAATCCAGGTCACCCTAAGACTTACAATCTGAAATAATTGGTAAATAACAAAGCATAAATACTCAGAAATATTTACAGAAAGTGAAGCCTCTGATAGGTCTAGTCCACATGGGTTCTGTAACTAGACGAAAGACAAAATGGCTCATTTAAGGGGGTATATCAAAGACAGGGATAAGGTTTTATGGGTGGAGTCTTGCTTTGTGATGTCTTGCAGTCAGCAGGTTGACATCTTGGCAGGTCACACCCATCTCAGGTGCTGTGTGGGTTACAGCAGAGCAGGAAAGAGATTCACATTGTCCCTGGGCAGTTGACCAGAGGAAATGACCATTGATCATTCCCAGACATCAGATGTCTCTATCCATGAAACTTCCATGTGTGGTGACCCACATGCAACCCATGGACGGCTCCTGACACTGCATGTCCTGTTTAGCTGTCTTTGGGTATTCGTAAATAGGTAACCATTATTCCTAGAAGACAAGAATAGCCAGTCAACTAAAGTAAGTACCCAAATGATCAGTGCTAACATTGTACTTGACCTTTCTCATGCAGCAATTTCAAGTGAGACACTCTTGAGTTCATATGCCCATTCTGTTCTCTTCTCTCGCTTAAACAGTCTCTTCCACATAACATCAGTCTTGAGGTAGAATTTTAAGTTGGACATTTACATGAGTTCAAACATTTAATGTTTCTTGAATCCTCGAGACTAACATCAAAAGCCACTGTCACAACTGTGTAGTAATGGATTCTCCTGGGTAGAAAAAAAAAAGAAAATTTAAAAATGAATTTATTCATTTCTATAATTTTTGTTTCCATATCAGTTAAGGTTCAAACGGGTTACACATGGTGCAGTGCCTTCTTGAGAGCAGGGTTTGACAAATATTTTTTCCAGAGGTCCAGATAGTAAATATTAGGCTTTGCTTGTCATATATAATCTGTGTGGCATATTATTTGCTTTTTTACATTATTTAAAAAACAAGAACTAGCCAGGTGCAGTGGCATTGTCTGAGTCTTTGCACTTAGGAGGCTGAGGCAGGAGGATCACTTGAATCCAGGAATTCAAGAGTAGCCTGGGCAGCACAGTGAAACAGTCTCAAAAAGAAGGAATGAAGAAAGGAAAGAAGGGAGGTGTTTTAGTCAGTGTTTTTGTCACTGTGAACAGTTTATTTGGGACTCATGGTTTCAGAGCTCTCAGTCCATAGATGGTCATCTCCATTGCTTTGGGCTCAAGGTAAGGCCGAACACCATGGCAGAAGGTGTGGAGGAGGAAGACAACTCAGGACATGACAATCAGGAAGCAGAGAGATTCTACTCAGTAGGAGTGCCCAAAGGCATGCTCCCAATGACCCACCTCCTACAGTCACACCGTGCCTGGCCAGGGTTCCCACTCAGTTAACCCCTATAAGTGGATTAATGCACTGATTAGGTTATGACCCTCGTAACCCTCTCACTTCACCTCTGAGCCTTCTAGTGTTGTTTCACACGTGAGTTTTTGGGGACACCTCTTATCTAAACCATAACAGGAAGTAAGAAGTGAGACAGAGTAATGAGCTCAGAAAAAAATGATACAGTATGAAGTATATTACTTTATCAGGAGGCATGTTGGGAGATTTTTCTCTCTGCTCAACTACGGACAGAGACTTCTACATGCTTATTACCAGGATCAACTTGGATGTGCACGGCCTCTGTACACACATATTCTGATAGCCCTTCTGGTATCCTGAGGGAGCCTGAGGCTGCTACCATTTGGGCACCTTTTAGGAACCCAGCAGAGGAACTTCCTATTTAGTTAGGACCAAAGCATTTTCAGCCACATGTATGAAGGTCTTTCAGCATCGAAGCTTTTTAAATTGTGGATGGACAGAATGCCTTTATTTGTTTATTTTTATGTGGTGCTAAGGATCAAACCCAGTGCCTGACACATGCTAGGCAAGTGCTCTGCCACTGAGCTATAGTCCCAGCTCCAGCATTGAAGCTTTTTTAGCTTGGATAACACTAATCCATTTTTCATAGACGCCATGAGACAGATTTCTCCTGTCTCACAGATTCTTTCTTCTAGTCTGTTCTCCTTATCTTTCCAAGCAAAAAGAGGAACAGGGAAGTAGAAAATATAACCTCTAAGAATTCTTCATCTTTGATTCTGCATCTGTTAGCATCTTTTATCTGGTATTGAACAAAGGACCTTTCCATTTCTATCAGATAATTGTCATCAATTGTTGTCTTCATTAATTTTAATTCCTTTATTACTTAATTCAAATATAAAATACCACCATGTTAATAGTTGCTACAATTTTTAATTTTATATGTTAACATTAACTAAACTTTAATTTTTGAAAAATTAGTTATTTTATTTTTTATTTTGTGGTACTAGGAATGGAACCCAGAGCCTTGCACTTTTAAGGCAAATACTGTACCACTGAACTACATCCCCAGCCCTTCACTTTAACTTTAACTCAACCTTTCATAAATATTTTGTGATGTCTTAGATATGTCACTCAGATGTTGACCTAGCATTAATAATTCTTTGAAATAATTTCCTTTTTAATAAAAAATGCTCTACATTTGTATTAACTAAATTCAAATAGAAAGAAGTTATGGATAAAATGGCATGTTGCTAATGAAATATGATAAATCTGTTAAATTACATGTTTGAACAGTTTTTCTTATAATTTGTTGTGCCTTTTTCTATCATCTGCATTGACAGTGGTTCTGACATCTAATCCCTGGCTGTGGTAGGCAGGCCAAATTTATGTTATAATATCAAGGGAGTCTGTTTTCTGCACTTCATTCTCTCTGCCTCTCCCCACACAAGCCTGTTCTTGTTTTAAATATTATATATTTCTCTCTGTAGACTGATAAAACTGTAGAAAGTTACATGTTGGAACCATTGTTAATGTCGATGATTGGGAAGATAGAACTTGCTCAATTCTGTCTGCATGGAGGGCAAGAAGTGGAGGGATCCCAGAGTCTTGCCGTTAAATACACTCAGGTAGAGAGGTAGAGGTGAGCCTGGTGTGGTTGAGCATAGCCAGCACAGCAGCTTCAGGGCTGCTCTGTGGTCACACATCATTGCTGTGTCTTGTACTGCCCACAGAATGCCTTAGTTCCTCTTGCTGTCTGAAGGTTTCATCAGAATGTCGGGTGAGGGGGCTGGAGATGTGGCTCAAGCGGTATCGCGCTCGCCTGTCATGCGTGCGGCCGGGGTTCGATCCTCAGCACCACATACCAACAAAGATGTTGTGTCCGCTAAGAACTAAAATAAATA